CCACGTGATCCTGCGAAAATTTCACGCGCTAGAATAATTTTGCACCAATCACATAAAGACAAAGTGAGAATGTAAAACTTCAAAATAAAGAAAGTAGAAATGCTTCTCTGTTTTCTCTCTCTCACTCTTTTATTTTTCCCCTGTATTTTTAGTTAATAATATTTATTTACTATAAGTAATTATCTTAATATAAAAATTTTTCAAAAAAATATATATATTCTATTTTTAAATACAATGTATTATAAACATAATATAATAATAATAATAATAATAATAATAATAATAATAATAATAATAATAATAATAATAATAATAATAATAATAATAATAATAATAATAGAAAATATACAAAACTTTTATCCCCACCATTTTAAATAAAATGAACTTTCTAAGATGATTATAATTTACGTGTGATCACGTGATTTTAAAATTGACACAATTTGAATTAAATCAACCTTAAATAATGACACATCAAACATCAATAACGTCACAATAAAAACTTCCTTTTCTTCTGCTTTGAATATAAAAATTTTATTTTATCAAAAAGAGTAGTTTTTATTTCAATATATGCTATTGACGAAATCTAATTTATTTGTTCAAGGTCGTCTTAACCTTCGATATTATTTACAACATATGCGGAATAATTTCGTTCACCGATAAGACTGTAAAGTCACACATATAAAGTATAATATTGACAAATTTTCAAGTAATATACGAAGTAGAAAAAATTCTTTTATTATAAATTTTTTAACAAGTATAATTATTTATTTTTCAATTGAAAAATGTGTTAATCACAAATTGTCAACAAAATTTTAAGCTAATTTCCGGGTTTCGAGGTTAGTGATAACATAATGTATTTATCATTGTAAATTCATATTGTGAATAAATAAATGTCTTTTTCAACCTTCAAACTAAAATACTGTTAATTGAATAGGAAAGCTAGGGTAAATGCACCAATTACGGTACGTTCATAAAAAATAACTATTATTATTATTATTATTATTATATTTAATATAACTGTTGCAAAATAATTTTAAAAAATTATTTTAATCTTTTTTTGATACAATTACTATTAAAGATGCTCATTTAAGCAATTAGTAATTTAATTATTTGAGATCAAATATTTTCCCTCTCCGTAATTGAAACATTTTTAAGATTTCAATTGGCTCCAATTACGGTGGGCAAAGTATCTTCAAAATACACGTAATTTTGGTCACCCTAATTGATACACCGAAACTGATACAAACGCGCCGTAATAGAAAAGTACGGTATTACCCAAACAAAAATTTACAACCGACTCAGTGTTGCGCCAGTACTGGCAATTACTGGAAAAGTACTGACTGTCAATATTGAGCCAATACTGGCATATGTGTGGGATAATAATGTTTATTAGTACTGGTCATTAGTAATGGCTTAGTACTGGCGTTCAGTACTGGTTCAATACTGGAATTTAGCAGTAATTCTGTATTTTACCAGTACGGGCAAAATTATAGTAACCAGTAATAAGCCAGCACTGGTAGATATTCAAAATTCAGGGTTCTTTTTGCTTTTTACATTAATTGAGCAGCTGGATCGAAGAACCGACTCATAGCATTAATGATAGAACGTCTAACAGCCTTCCGGCAGGATGAAAAAGACTCACGTGAGTCCCTCCGAAATAGCTTTATAAAATTAACATGGATTCAGATAATCCAAAAGTAAAATATATCGTTGGAAAGGTAAAAACACAAGCTTTTAGCGCATGTAAACATAATGTTTGTAAATTAAAATCCCTAGGCTAGGGAATTCAAAGAAAAAGGACGTTTTTATAGGGTTTTTTTGACGAATCCAAAAAAATATTTAAACTGAATTTTTTTTAAAATAAACTATCACATTTTATTCTTTGAAGACTTCAGAAGAAAATGAGGGTAGTTAGACTGAAAAATATTGGTTTTTGTAGATTTTACAGTGAATTTACGAAAAACTGTTTTTTTGGCTTGTAGCAAACATGCAAAGTTTGAAGGCTTCGAAACATGGTTTAATATTATTTTTTTTTAAAGTCTAACGCATGAATTTTTTCGTTTTTACGTCTACTTTAATAAGAAAAGGTGAAAAAAAAAATTTTGAGTTCCCTTTTTACCACCCTCATATATATAGGGCCATCCAAAAAAACCTTCCGGCAGGACGGGCGCTTGGACGTTCTATCATTAACTATTAATAATAATAAATTATTATAATAACTTTTAAATTCTTATTTTTTTATATCAACATTTTACTCTTTAATTTATTATTCAAATAATTTCTTCAAATATTATAAAATATATATTTATTTGTATTTCTTTAAATTACCAAAATTGAATGAAATTAATGGTTAAAATAGAGTTTATTTGATTGAAATATATTTTTTCAGTGTAAGAAAAATAATTTGAGAACTTCATTAATTATGTATTTCTTTTATTAAAAAGTTTTAATATTAAATTAAAATTTCATAATTCCGTTAACGAACGCATTGCAGTAATCGAAAAGAAGTATTAAAATAATTTTAAAAAAATTTGTATGTAAATTTAATTTCTAACCAACAAAAATACACAATTTTCACGTCTATGAAGTTGGCGTCGACACTCAACGTCGAAAATTATTTTTCGCGGGACCAAAAATAACAAATGATTTTTAAAAAAGTTTTGGGTTTACATAATACCTTAAAAAGTATTTCCTAAGGTATTACATATTTGGACCGAAAATCTTTAAAAAAAAATAATTTGACATTTTTGGTCCTGTGAAAAATAATTTTCGGCGCCGAGCGTCAACGCCAACTTCATGGAGGTCAATTTTCATAATTTTTCTGAATACTGGCATTCGGTATTGATTTAATACTCACCGAGTACTGGTTTGCCATTACTGTCTCATTAATACTGGCACAGTATTGGAAAATACTGGCATGCCGGTATTGGCTTGCAGTATTGGCACAGTACAGAATTTAATCCATATCAGTACCGAAACCAATACTGGTAAGCCAACTGTCGGCCAGCCAGTATTGGTGCATGATTGCGCCTGGTAGCGATTATGTATTTTGATTTACCTTTGACGTCAAAGTCATTTTCATTTTGACTTCGTAGTCAAAAGTCATTTTACATAGTTTCACGTAAAATGATTGTTTTGATTTGTCAAATTGTAATAACCACAATTTTGAAGTATAATTACTTTTTTCCCTTTATTAAAAATTTAAGAATAAAAACTTTATTTAGGAATTAAATGATGCAAAAGTGAAATAAGTAATTTTAAAAAGATCAAGACAGCATTACAAGGATTTTTAAAAAAACTTTTCTAACTTTAACAAACTAAGTAAAAGTAAGAGGTTAAAAAAACTTTAATTTATGAAATATAATTAAAACATTAATATTATTTTATTTATTTATTCATTCACATATGTTAAGAGGAAAAATTGAAAGAATTATTTAAATATTACTATTTATATATAATTAATTACAGTTTAAATAAAATTAATCGTTAATTTTTATTTACACAAATATAAATAACAGTCTCGTTACTGAATTTATGTTTAGGAATTAATTGCAATTACATTATGCCAAAAAATTGAGTATTTTTAATAATAATTTATGTTGAGCATTTTCTATTTTAAATTACATCAATAAATTATGTACAAAATGTCAATTTGCTCAAAATAGTAGGAAACTAATTTAAGTTAAAATTATTTTAGGAAAAAAAAATATTTCATCGGTCAAATGTAAGTAATTTTTTATGTTTTGAATTATCTTTTAAACGACATAATTTCTTCTTTAGTTTTTGATATTTTAGTTTATTTTATTCTGACTACATTTATAAAAATGAAAGTAAGGCATTATTCAAAACAATTATAACATATCCCTGGTTTCAACATTAAAAAATACTTACCGTTGACAGATGAAATAATTTTTTATTAAATAATTTTAACCTAATTATTAATCTTTTAAAAATTCCTTAATTATACCGCTTTTTTAACTGTTTAAAATTACTTACTTTACTTTTTTACAATTTAATTCCTAAATAAATTGTGGATATTACAATTTGACAAATCAAAACAATCATTTTACGTAAAACTACGAAAAATGACATTTGACTACGAAGTCAAAATGAAAATGACTTTGACGTCAAAGTTAAATCAAAATACATAATCGCTACCCTGTTGTCAATATCGGCGTTTGACAAAAATTTTTGCTTGGGTAGTTTTAATTTCTCATATTTGTTTAAATAATCGATTTTTATAAAGTTTAATTTATTTTTTAATATCTAAATAACATAAACTAGTTTAATAAGTCGTAAATTGACTTTATACGATAGAAATGTCGAATTTTCTATTTCAAAGGTGTTTTTCGACTCGAATCGCGCCGTAATTTTTGTCAAATTTTCTTTTTAAATATTATTTTTTTTAATTTAAAGAAAGATTATGTTTCAAAAGTACAGAACGTTAGAGGATATTGGAAAAGAAATTTTCCTTTTATTATTAAATTATTTTTTCTTGGTGTAACGTTTTGAAACAGAAAAAAAACACAGAAAATTAAAAGGCATTAAAATAAGCTGCAACGCTTCTTATTTTAATCCAATTTTGCATATTTTAATTCATTTTGGTATTAAAATAAGCAAAATTGGATTAAAATAAGAAGCGTTGCAGCTTATTTTAATGCCTTTTAATTTTCTGTGAAACTATTTGCTTCATTTGTTGACAAAATAATGGATTTTCACATTTTTTTTGTTGTCCCACGTTCATCCTTATATTATTTCATTAGAAAAATTCTCATCTTTCAAATAACAATAAAGAAATAAACATTTTAAATACCTGCAGAGAAATATTTAACATTTCTGGGTTTCTTAACGAAATTTTTTGAAAGCTCAATAAATTTTAGTTTCTTAGTCGAAGTAGGTTTTTTTATATAAGACTTAAAATAGGTTCAATGCAAGTTAAAATATGTTAAAATAGTTCGGGTGTAGGTTCAATATGTGTCTGCAAAAAAAAATTCATAGAATAATATTTAATTTTATTTATTATATATATATTTCTTAAGTACAAAATAAAAAGATACATAATAATATTCTTTAAATCGTTGAAAAATATATTTTTTTTTTATATATGAGACGCTCCACGAGAGAAAGGACCTATCCCCGAAATAACATTAGGCTCAGTTTTCCGTGCACCGTACATGAAAACTCAGCCTAATATTATTTCGGAGATAGGTCCCTTCTCTCGTGGAGCGTCACAATTATATATAATTTCAATTTAATACTATAGTAAAAAAATACATTTATTTTTTACTCCTAGCATAGTAACTATATTTTTTTAAAATATTTTTTTAAAATATTTTTTAATGGCGAGAGAATAATTTATTCAAAATTTCAAGAAAACGTTCAGAAAATCCAAATGTTAAAATTGATAAATGATGACGAACCCATTCGATAATATTATCAATAATTTGAAAAATTCTCTGCAACAGAGTATTTCTTGATTGTACAGCTTCTTGTTTTATTGTACTGTATGCATCTTGTAGTTTATCAAAATTTAATGTTTTCATAAAATTCACCACCATTGTAACAGTTCGACGCAATGTTTCTGGTAAATCAGTCCAATTTAATGACAATTGAGTTTGTAGACCATTATTTTTTTTTTGATTTTCCTGTTGTTTAATATAATTTTGATAGACTGCAGCAAATTCTTGTAGTGGACGTTCTGATTGTGCTGGATTTAAATTATTTGGTAATCTCCAATTTCCCGGTGAAAATTGATTTTGATTAACAAAATATGGATGAGGATTGTTGGAAGGAGGGAAATTTGTATTTTGATAATTTTGATTGGGATTTAGATGATTTTGAGGATATTGATTTTGATATGCATTGAAAGGATTTTGTAAACCTTGAGGTGAATAAGCCGGAGGAAAAACTAAAATTGAAAAACAAAAAAAAATTTTATTTTAAATACATATATATTTTTAATGGATATTTTTGTAAATAATGTTTAAAATTTAATTATAATCTATTTGAAGTTTATAATTACCTTGATTTGTTGGATATCCTGGTTGTTGATAATTTTGAGGTTGCTGAGGTTGTTGTGGATTTTGATGACTTGGCAATTGTTGTTGAATTTGATTTGGATGAATTGCGACTGGTTGTTGTGGATTTGGATGACTTGGCAATTGTTGTTGAACTTGATTTGGATGAATTGCGACTGGTTGTTGTGGATTTGGATGACTTGGCAATTGTTGTTGAACTTGATTTGGATGAATTGCGACTGGTTGTTGTTGATTTGGTTGATTTACAAATGGATGTTGAACAGGAGTTTGTTGAATTCCAACTGGTTGTTGCTGACTTGCCAATGGTTGTTGTGTTCCTGATTGTTGTTGCTGACTTACCAATGGTTGTTGAGTTCCCAATGGTTGTTGTGTTCCTAATGGTTGTTGAGTCCCCAAAGGTTGTTGAGTTCCTAATGGTTGTTGGGTTCCCAATGGTTGTTGTGTTCCTAATGGTTGTTGAGTCCCCAATGGTTGTTGAGTTCCCAATGGTTGTTGTGTTCCTAATGGTTGTTGTTGAGTTCCCAATTGTTGTTGAGCCCCCAATGGTTGTTGGGTTCCTAATGGTTGTTGAGTTCCCAATGGTTGTTGAGTCCCCAATGGTTGTTGAGTCCCCAATGGTTGTTGAGTTCCTAATGGTTGTTGGGTTCCCAATGGTTGTTGAGTTCCCAATTGCTGTTGAGTTCCCAATGGTTGTTGAGCCCCCAATGGTTGTTGAGTTCCCAATGGTTGTTGAGCCCCCAATGGTTGTTGAGTTCCCAATTGTTGTTGAATTCCCAATGGTTGCTGTTGATTCTGCAGATTTCCAAATTGTTGAACAACTGGAGGTTGTTGTGACAAAAATTGTGTTTGTTGAGTTGGAAATTGTTGCTGTTGAGTTAGTGGATTTACACCTTGTCCTTGAGCGGTAGCCAGTAAAAAGGGCATTCCCATCAATCCATAAATTAAAAGAAACACTCGCATTTTCTTTTTTATATTATCAACTTTTGAAAAAAAAAAAAATTCTTATTCAGAGAGAAAAACTTTCTTGAAAGCTAGCTTGTGAACTGTATATATAGAATAAAAATTCCAATAAAATGATATTTCCTTTATATAGTGAAGAATGCTAATAAATTTTATTGACACAAGTGAACATAGATAATTAAGTAAATACCCAAAAAAAAGCAGACATTTTAAAATCGAATGCTTAGCAATTATCTATAAATTTTTTTTTTTTTGCGCAGTTTATTATTCAAAGATAAATATACTTCATCACGTACGTCATTGTCAAAAAAAAATATATATATATTAAGTTACACATGAATATTTTATTATAGTTAGTTATACTTAAAAACTTGTGAAAAATAAATAAAACATTTTTTTTCCCCAAATTGTAAAATATACTATTAATTAATTCAATTTAAAAAAAAAACACTTGTGCACTTAAGATTGCGAGAGAAATATTATAATTTTTTTTTAATAAAATTGAAATTTTTAGATAACAAAAATGAAGGATTAATTAAATCAATAGTTAGGGCCATGTGGCAAAAATATATTTCATAGAATACACAAATTTTTTATGATATGAAAAAATATTTTCAAAAAAAAATTGTTTCACTAAATTTCAAAATCAAATTACTGTACTGAGAATTTTTTTGTTTAAAAATTAAATATTTTACCCTTTTAATTTCGAAAAAAAGAGGAAATTATTTGACTTTGTTTTTTTGATAAAACAAAATATAGAAAATTATTATGGTCCACACGAAATGCTAATATAGTATCCCCCGAACATTTCCGAAAGATGCCGAATGCATTTCAGAGTTTTTCTCGGAATGCTTTGATTATAGACGCACTTGAATCGTAGATAGCAGACAATGTAGAAACTATTTTCTAGGTTATGTTGCGTTTTCTTTATTGCATTTGAAATCAAATAAATATTTTATCAGAATAAAAATTCTCGACTATTTATAAGTAAGGTGTTTGTGCTCCTTATTTGTTTTGAATTGTAATTTAATATAGACTACATCAATTTTTCATATATACAAAATCGTATTTTCTCACTTTGAAATGGCATCATTATTAAACATTGATAATAAAAAATTCTAATATATTTGAAACACAAAACCTCTCGGTATAGAATTTACAACAATAATAACAATAGTTATATTCTTGGCTAAGGCCTAGGCTTAAGGGAGTTGAACTGAGTTAGCACACACAAGAAGAAAGTAATTTGTGGGTGGTAGAAGTGAGTAAAAGAGGAAGAGAAGAAGCTCTTCTGGAAACGACTTGACATACCAATCTCTTTGCCTGTCATTGCTGGCGTTGTTGCATTACTGCATCTCTGCTCTACTAAGTTGGCTCAGAGACAGAAACAGAGACAGGTATACGAATGTGTCTGTGTATATATATATATGTATGAATGTCTGGAAAAAGAGAGAGAGAGAGAGAAAGACAAAATTATACAGCAACAGGAAGAGAAACAGAGGATAAAGTGATGGAGGAAAATAGCGAGAGAAGAGAGAGAAACTGTGAGTGATATGGAGGTAGAACATAAACGAGGCAACATGTGGTTCTCTTAAGTTACACGTGCCTTTTCCCCATCTACTCTTGACACCCTTTCCCCTCATCTCTCTCACACAACCCTTTCCAACTTCTCATTCGACCCCTTCGTCTTTCTCTCTCTCTCTCTCTCTCTTTCTCTCTCTGTATTTCTATATCAACCGCATTTCCACATCCATAATTTTCATTCGTCATATCAAAACGGAATTCACTAATGAATTCATCGAAATACAATATTTCATGATGGTAATATTATGAAATCTTGAAAATCTATTTATTAAAATTCTCAAAAGTTCTCAAATTCTTAACAATTCGATAAAATGATTTTTCGATTTTTTGAAATTTGCGATCTTATTCGATCTTTTATGATTTTTAGCAAAATAAATCCCACTTGGAAAGATTCCCCGGAAAGTGCCCCCTGGAGGTTCTATCGGAATTCCGACGGAATTACGTTGGAAGTTCCGGCGGAATTCTGAGTGCCTCAGTGCCCCCTGGAGGTTCTATCAGAATTCCGCCGGAATTCCATCGGAGTTCCAAAGAATTTCCGATGGGATTCCGACGGAATTCCGATTAATTTTTTTCAAATTTTTTAGAGGCCTAATTCCGTCGGAATTCTGATGGAATTCTAATAGAACCTCCAGGGGGCACTTTCCGGGGAATCTTTCCAAGTGGGAAACGACTCTGAAAATGACCAGTTTCTCTATATATGATCTTTTAATGGCATTGTCTACTCTCCTCTAACGTCAAACAAAATTGAATTATACAACAAGGGTAAATAAAATTTGAAGAAAAACACATTTCAAGACACCTTCATTTTCTTCTTCTTCTTCTCCATCTTATTCCACACTATAGACGTCATATATCAAGTTATGAATCATCATTTTGTCTCGTTTATGGTGGCCCATTTCTCGTGGCAAAAGTACTATATATATATATATATATATATAAAGCATCCGCAAAAGTAACTATTATGGATAAATCTAGTTCTCGCAGTACTACTCTTTTTTTTATGGACATATACTGCTTGTCGAAAAGACGAAATATGTTGAAATAGTATCTCGCGTGTCAAAGAAAAATAAAGTCAATATCACTCTTAGAAAAAGAAGAAGAAGAAGAAAAAAGGTTTATTACCGATATTAAATTGTGACCTCACCCATTTCGAACCTTAAGCTTATTCCATTCGAATCGGACCAGATGGTCCCCTCTGTTTTTCTGATAAAACGTATATAAAGCTCAATTTTCAAGAAAGAGTGCGCACTGACAACAAGGGACAAAAATAAAAGAAGACCACGAATAGTACCGCAGGATATGGAAGACAACTAGGGGGGGGGGGAGGGGTCGATTTGATGGGTACTATATGTATGTGGGGAGAATGAGAGAGAGAGAGAGAAAGAAGGTTTGCACCCTTTTAGCTGTTAGGCCACCAAAAGGGATCAACCACAGAAGATGCAATAAAATGAAATTAGCAAAGCTCTCATCCACACCCTGAGACCTCGCGACTTGAGCTGGGAGATCTAGTTGAACAAAAAAAAAAAGAAAAAAATAAATAAAGAAAAAGGTCTCTAAGGTACAAAGGGTAAGGAGGACCGTCCTTGACTTGGCACATCGTTTGATTAAGATTCAAACTGCTATTGCCTTCCTCTCGAAGTACTTTGAAATGACCCTGCCACTCTGGCTATGGCACCAGCATTAAGTCCCAAGTCGTAGAATGAGCTTACTTTGCTTTTTTTTGTCTACTTTCAAAAACATGCTATTGACATCGTAAATGCTAGTACCCACATTTTCTCCTCTTAAAGGGAATTACTTTTCTGGCTTAATGCTTCGATTCTCTTTTCATGCGCTCTCTTTCTCTCTCCCTCTCAATTTATTTTTAGGTGCAGCTTAAAAAATTTTTTAATTTCCTCACATTATTTAAAAATGTATAAATCAATTCTAATTTTTCTCTAATATTATACTGTTTTCTTGTATAGGTATCATTGATACCCAGAATTGAATTAACTCAGATTTTGATTATAAGATATCAAATTGATCCAAATATGTATTAGGATCATATTCTTTACACGGAGAAAAAGAAAAAGTAATTTTTACTACTTTCAGAGTAAAACTGGACCAACTCGAAGTTTCTGCGCATCTCTGGCAATTTTTACTCCAAAAATAGTAAAATTTATTATTTCTGTAGTAAATTTTACTGTTTCCGTAGTAAGTTTTACTATTTCTAGAGTAAATTTTACTATTTTTGGAGTAAAAATTGCCAGAGATGCGCAGAAACTTCGAGTTGGTCCAGTTTTACTCTGAAAGTAGTAAAAGTTACTTTATAAAAGAAATCTTTTTTCTCCGTGTAGAAATGATCTGGAAATTGGGATTACTTTTTGATACCTAAATTGGTATAAAAAGATTTAATTCTCATGGCTGGCATGCTTTTATTGACAAATTTATATTAATCAATTTCTTCACTGCACTAAATTTTTAAGTATAAAATATAAAATTATTTATTATGAAGTTTTAGATAGAGAGAAGTAAAGATTTATTTATAGTGAGCAACAGAGTTTGGAAGTTATGCGTAACTTTAAGGATTTCGACGTATATATTGCATTTTCTACATATTTTACGTAAAATACTGTAAACAACCTGTGTAATTTACACGACCAAATATATGAAGGCAAAAGTTCACGTTTAGACCTAACTTATATACAAACGTCAAACAGAAATACCAAAGACCTGATAAATATATGCAAATTAACAGAAAAATAATTTCAAAAAGTAATAACAATAAGGTGACAAACGATGCTCACGATGGCCCATATATGTCCAAAAAAAAGTCGTGCCACCTTTGTGATTTTGGACATATATGTCCACATTAGAAAAAAAAATACTAAACATAATTAGAATTGAGTGTCAATGTGTATACTAATGTTTTTGGGGTCGCTGAATCCGAATTTAAGGACATAATTAAAAAATTCAAAATGGCGGACCCAATATGGCGTCAAAAAAAAATTTTTAAATTGACTTTATTTTAATAAAAATGGTTCCTTTAGGGTTTTTGGGGTCGCTAAATCCAAATTTGAGGTCAGATTTAAAAAATTCAAAATAGCGGACCCAATATGGTGGAAAAATTTAAAATTTATTCGATTCGTTCAAATTTCGGTACTCGGGGATTTTCGAGGTTATTGAATCCAAATTTGATGTCATATTTGACAAATTCAAAATGGCGGACCCAATATGGTGAACCAATATGGAGGAAAAATTTAAAATTCATTCGATTCGTTCAAAATTCAGTATTCGGGGGTTTTTGGGGTCGCTGAATCCAAATTTGATGTCATATTTAAAAATTCAAAATGGCGGACCCAATATGGCGAAAAATTTTTTAAATCGATTCGATTCGTTTAAAGTACCGAATTTTGAACGAATCGAAT